AGACAAGAAATTATTATTACAAGTCCATTTAGTCTAAATGCTCTGTTTTTCCATGGCGGTAAAAGAGAAGAAGAAGGCTACAGTAACGGATTGAGATCCAAGAACAGAGGCTCCAGCAATAGCGAAGCTTGCTCCATGAGAAAGATCGGCTTTTGGATCAAGAACTGGAGGAACCGGTTCGTGATTACCAATCAATCGACCTACATGCAATTAAGATCAGAATCAATTACAATAAAGTTTAAGACTTTCGTCTATTTTTCTTGTACATTTTATTTTTTGTACCGACGAAATCTGGGACAATATTGCCGTCACACCACCGGCCGGTGGGGTCGTCAACGGAGTCGCCGTAAGGCCACGTGGTGGCCCGATCAAACTCCGACGAGAAGAACTTGGTGTTGCCCACATCGTAAGAAGAGTCGCCGAAAGTGAATAAGAGAGGAGGCTCGCCGGAAACGTTCGCCGGGAAACTAACGAGTGTAAGAGACACTAATACCCCTATGAAGAAGATTAAATTACGGTTCTTTGCCATTGTGTGAAGTGTGAGAGCCAAACCAAACCAAACCAAAGTTAACTTAATTCGGCTGATTGATTTATTGTATACTTCTTTATTAGTCTACACAGATGCGCGCATGTTGCAGATAATTAAATGTGATGCATGTTCCAAGGGGTCTACACATTGCATGTGGCAGATAATTAAATGTGATGCATCCACTGTATTTATATATGAGTTAAATTAGACAAAGACATATCACTACAACTACAAGAAAATAGTGTTTTTTGCAATAATCAAATTTTGTTGCAAATTTTAATATATCGTTCCAAAAAGTATAACTGCGAAATATATAGTGCTGCTATTTCAGTGCTGCAAATTCGTGTTTGTTGCACAATACATATGTCGCAAATTAAGCTATGAATGGGTTTCTTGCAATTATGTTGTATAAGTGCAACGACATATTTGCAGCATATATGATCGATCCACTTTTTTATGAAATTTGAATTCTACATTTATGTGTTAAACATTATTATCTTCTTCTTTTTTGTCGTAAACATTATCTTTAACATCGAACTTACCAATTTTTGTTTGGCAGTGATTCAGTTATCAAGATGCAGAAACAATTGGAAATGACCACGTAACGATGATTTTAACTTTTATTCCAAATATCGTAGATTGCGAAAACATAACACAAAAGATACCCAAAAGCAGTTTATTCGACGTAGGTAATAAGTAAAATCACCACGTAACGATGATATTCATATTACTACGATGATAGTTCATATCCAAGTAATCCAAGATCCTAATAAGCCGAGAAACCGACGTAGGAGTCGGTAGGTGGACGACGACGGATCGACGACTTGTTAGGCTCCCAATACTCACGCATGTTAGTTCCAACTGGGTAGACTATTAGCTCACGGATATTCATTGGCTGGATCACGTTCAGGTTGGCTCCATATAGAAGATGAGCAAATTCCTCTTGAGCCTTCTCAGTGTTGTGACGTCCGTCGAAGAAGAGGTAAGATCTTTGGTACTCACATAGCTTCACGTGCACATTTGAAAATGCGCAACCGTACGCGTTGTGTGTCCCAACACCGCAACACGATGAGTTTGTCACGAGGAATCCTGTATTCAAAGTTTATTGTTATATAAATTACCAAGCGATTTTTAAGAAAGAGATGTATATGTATTAGGGTGATTTTAGTTTACTGTAGTTAAGTCTTTGTGTCCTGCGAAGAAGGGCGTTGTAGAAATCGAATACGGTGAATTGAAAACCGGAGGAGGTATTAGCAAACTCGTTTAACATGGGACCGATTTTGGCGTTGTGTTGTTTAGCCAAATCGTTAAGTGGCTCGTAACATTCGTTCCCGGTTTTGTAATCTTGTCTCACGATTGGTAAGCATCCCAATGGTGGCAACAATTGCACCACGAATTTACTCGCTCTCAAGCTGTATAACAACTGTAAAATAATATATAGTAAGCTAATTAAACATTGAGTAGTAGAAAATTCGAATTTATATCGGATTAGTTAATTAACAACAACTTACGCCGATATCGTTTTTTAATCGGTTAATGACCGAAGTGACAAAAGCTTGCTGAGCAGAAGCGTCTGCAGTGGGATTGGTCTTGGTAAAGTTCAAATAATCTTCCGTACCAATGAAGATCATAAACAGTGATTTTTCGATGTAGTCGTCGGTCCAACTTGATTTCATATTTTTGAATTTACTCACTTGCTGGTTTAGCGTCATCTGGATTC